CCAAATACTACTTTTGAGCAATTGCCTGAAACCACACTAATAATACTAGGCATAACCTGCCCTCTCAATTATCCTCAACCACCACATATCATCACCAATCAATCCTAGAATATTTTCATTCCAAATATTCCCTCTCTATATGAATCAACACCACCAAACTCCCCTATTATCATTCCCGACTCTCCAGAACCTTAGACTCTCACAGATCTAACAGAAGATCCTATCCAAACTGTAGTTGATCAACAAGCCTTGAACAAACTTATCAACTCCTCTCAGAAAATAGTCCTCCCAAAACCAAAACCAAAACCATCCAAATAAGATGTTGGTAAATCATTGATGGTTTTTGAGACAGAAATGTAGGAATGGGTTAACTCTCTAAAGCAGGGTTGCTTCAATAATTTTAATCCAATTTCCTCTAACTACTTCTGGACTCAGTTCAAAAAATTCTTTAATTCTAAATCTCTCAAGATGAAGGAGCTCAGCTACGAGACTGCTCAATAGAACTTCTGTGATCAGCTGAACATCTTCAAGGAAGAAGTGTTGAAGCTATGAGTAAGGAAACCTCTTCTTCATCTGGACAACTCTCCATGGACATCTCCTCTAAAAAAATCAAGAACCCTCTCATGAACCTCATCCTCTAATCATCTTTCAAGTCAAAGGAAATTTTTTTGAAGAATCTTCTGCTAGTATGAATGTTGAAGAAACGGTCCCTGCTGAAGAAATGGCTCCAACTTCTCTTATGCTGAAAACTCTGGATGATTTGAAGAAAGAGAATGAAGCGATTAAGGAAAGGTTGGATAAACAAGATGAAACCAACAAGGAGATTAAAGTATTATTGCACAAATAAGAAGAATCCAACAATAAGATCAAAGTTCTTCTAGAAGCATTGTTCATACATCTTCCACCTTCACAACCTTAGATCTCATCTTTTGTTTCTCTTGTTATGTTTCTGTTATGTTTCCTTTCTTGCTTATCCCCTGGTTGTTTTGTATCTATTTTAAATGCATAAGTTTTTGTTATAATTTATGTTCTTTATTCCTTTTTGATTTATGACAAAAAGGGGGAGAAAGTGAATATATTTTTATACAAATAGTTCTGGACTAAGTCTCAAACATTTCAAATAATGTAACTTTTGTTTTAATGTTTCTGAAAGTTGACAGAGAAGTATCACTCTAAACTTGTGGTATGCTTTATTAGCCTTCAAAATAGGCTTCTCAGATCTTCCGTCATATGCTCTGAATCAAATATCTTCAGGGAAGTTTTTACCTATTGTTTAATTCTATTGTATCTGAATATTTAACTCAGGGGGAGACTCTGATAAAATCCTTTTACAATTAATTAATTTCTTTTAAAATACAAAATTGTTCATCAAAATATGTAAGTTTTGTCATCATCAAAAATGTGGAGATTGTTAGAACATAGTTTGGTTCTACCTCTATGTATTAGTCTTGATGATAACAATTACATGATTATTGTGAAGAACAATTTTGCTCTCTAATCGTTTGATTGGATGTACAGAGAAGTTATGATGAAAAAGTATAAAAGATAATGACTGAATTCCTCTATGAAGCTCTGAAAGGAATATGCATACAAACTCAGAAGCAAATCCAAGTAACACACCTGAAAATAAAAGTGTTGATATTAAATCTTCTTAAGCACCAAGCTGCAGGTTATACTCTGATATATAAAGTTCTGAAAGAACAAAGAAGCTTCAAAAGTATCTATCATATTCAAAGTTATGATTACAAGAAATCAAGCTCAAGATACTCTGAGATGGTGTAGATCCGACATCACATTAATGGAATTTTTAAAGTAATAGGTGGAAATTTATGGCTGGAACAAGATCTGTATTTTTGGAAAGAAAATCAATTCTCAAATCAACAACCTTCCAAAATCAGAATATTATGTCTCCAACGGTTTCATTAACCTGCCTATATAAAGAGGTCTATGAAAGATGAAAAGTACAACACACACATACAAAACAAGAACAATCAGAAACTCTCTCATACGTTTATCTCTTGATTATTTTCAATGCTACAATTTTGTGTAAATATCACAGTTGTGATATAGATTATTAGAAGCATTTGTAAACACATAATATATTTTATTTAAAATTGTATTTCCTTGAGAAACCAAGTTATGGTTAGATCTCAAGAAGACGTTGACAGTTGTCTTCGTGATTTGTGTAATCAACTTTAATTAGTAGATTAAGACCTTGATTGAGAGTGGCGAAATCACCTTGACGGGTGGACTGAAGTAGTTTGAGTTTAAACGAACTAGGATAACCAAACGTGTTTTATAGCTTTAATCTTTTGAAAATCCCAATTCAAACCCCCTTTCTTATATTTTTTTTATCCTTCAATACTAGTTTACAACATATTGAGTCACATTATTTAGGTTATCTCACACAAAAAACAATATAAAACAAAATCTGCCAAAAACTATCTGCCCGCCTGAGGCTCGCCCGAGGAAGTAGTCTGCTCGCTTGAGGCTCGTCCGGTGACATAGAGGCGAGGGGTCCTCTCCCAGAGCTTGCACAACAAATCAGAGGTGCGTCGCTTAATTTCCAATAGCATGCATTCTTCCCAATCTTTCTCGCCCAGCGTCGCTTGGGCGAAATCACTTCGCCCGACGAAGCATGTGGCTCGCCCGACGACGTTGTAACCACAACTTCTCAGTTGCAATTTTGTACCTGCTCAATCCAAATTTCTCATATGATTCTCAATTCAGTACAGTCCATAATTCACATTTTTCAACATAGATTCATTACATAGTAACAACACATATTTATAGGCATCATATTCATCAATTCATTGTAGAACCTCATAATTTCATCATTTTCATCATAGGTTCATCACATTCATCATGTATTATCAAATTCATTATAAACCCCAAACAATTTCCTACATACATCTAAACCTCATATTAATTATAATGACATATCACCCCCTTACCTTAGATTTCTAGCAAGTGGTCTTCTTCTTCGCGTTTCTACGGTGATTCTCCAAGTTCCTCGTGCCCTAGCCTCTTCTCCATTTTCTCTCAATTCTTTCACGAGCGCACAATGAAACACTTTTCCCTTTTTTTCCTTGTTTAACCCTTAGACACCTAATATGAACTTGCCATCATACCCCGACTTAGCCTTTCACCAATTACAACTTTGCCCCTAATATTTCTACAACAATATCCTTTTTATTTTATTAATAATAATTTTAAATTATTAAAATACTCAATGTCCCTTAATTCCTACTATCCCACAATATAAGATATTCAACACACCATATTCAATACATCATATAATTCAATAATAACTTACAAATACTCACAATAAATCCATTAAATAAATATTCTAATTATTGGGGTGTTACATTCATCATAGAATAATGGAGACTTATTGTTACTACCACCGTCTTTAAAATTTGAATTTTCAGAAGCCATCTTCCCGGTCTTAATAACATGTTACTTGTAATATGCTCCGATGTCAATTGTAAGTATATAGTGCAATCTAAGAGGATGGTGGATTAGATTTTCCGATATTTTAGACTTTTAAAGCAATGTTTCTTATGTTTTTATTTTTTCGAAAATAAGTGTATGAACTTTGAATGAAAATTCAGAATTTAAATACAGAAAAATAAAGAACATAATGATGTATACTACTTTCCCTTTTCAATAAAGAGCGCACCTACTCCCTTCACACCCTATTAGAGATTTTCACTATTGTTAACCAAGACTCACTTCCTTGATTTCACCTTGACCTATGGTGGAATTTGAATCACCCTAATCTAAAGAACCTTTTACAATAATCACCAAAACACTTTGATAATCAATCAAACCAGAAAGTACACCACTTTTAATTTACAAAACAAGTCACCACCCAATTGGTGATTAAATATAACTATTGAAAAATTGTGAATACGAAAGAGTTGTTGCACTTAAATCAATTTTTGTACAGAGATTGATCTCTCGTTCCAATGAACAATTCAAATATAATACATCTAAATTGCTCATAAACCTTTCTTATCGATATGAAAGTTTTGTGGAATTTTTTTTTTATGTAAAACAGATTTGTATTAATGTAAAAATTTGAGTGGAAGAGATAATTTAAAATTTGAATTTTCTTCCTTTAAATAGAAGATGAAATACCTCTTTAAACAACGATAGTGTTTAATGAAAATGATCATGATTCATGTAATAATTGCAATGGTTTAGGAAAGGTGTGATGAATCATTGCATTCAAATATTTAATATAAAAAGCTTAAAATGTAATTGTTTTTACAAGCTTAAAATGAGGCAAGAGTTAAATTATTAGTCTCTATATTAGAAAAAAATGTTTTTTTTTAAAAAATAAATAATTGTGACAAAATTAATTATAATTATTATATAATAATTTATAATAATGTTATATAATAATTAGTCTATATGAATTATATATTAGTCAAGAAAATAATTATAATTATTATTATTACGTGAATTATAAATTAATCAAAAAAATAATTTTTATAAAAAATAATAATAATTATAGTAAATAATAATAATATTTATATTTATAGGAATAATAAAAGAAATATATTTTAAGAAAATTTCTATTTCTATTTATCCAATTTTGTTGATAAATTTATGTCAATTGAAATAAATAGTATTTTGAAGATACATCTCCAAATTCGCTTTAAAAAAATTTGGAGATAAATCTTTAAACTAAATTTTTGAAAAAATATAATATTGTACGCCTGGAGATGTATTTCCGAAAACATAAAATATTTTAGAAATCTCACTTAAAGTATGAGAGAAATAGCAAGTGTGGAATGAGAAATTATAATTTTTTAAGCTCCGTCCTGTCTTATAGGCCTATAGTTTGGCCCAAAATTGAATTGAGCCCATTTTCAAAATCCAAGTTCTCCCGGAAGCATCAACAAACAACAGATATCGATATCACCACCGGTTCACCGGTTCACCGGTCTGAACAATCCCTTCTTCATCATCTTCTTCCTCTTCAGACCCTAATGGCGGGTTCTTCATCTTCCTCCATCATGGACAACCTCTTCCAACGAACCCTCGACGATCTCATCAAATCCATGCGCCTCCACCTCCTCACCGAGTCATCTCTCATCTCCAAATCAATCGAAGACATCCGCCGCGAAATCAAATCCACCGACCCCCAAACCAAATCCACCGCCCTCCAAAAACTCACCTACCTCTCCGCCATCCACGGCGTCGACATGTCATGGGCCGCCTTCCATGTCGTCGAGGTAATGTCCTCTTCTTACTTCTCCCACAAACGAATCGGCTACCACTCCGCCTCGATTTCGTTTCACGATCAAACTCCGGTGATCCTCCTTATCACTAACCAGCTTCGGAAAGACCTTTCTTCTACAAACCACTTTCATGTTTCACTCGCGCTTCATTGTTTATCGAATATCGCCACTCTCGATCTCGCGCGTGATCTTACGCCCGATCTTTTCAATTTGTTATCGTCTTCTAGGGTTTTTGTGAGGAATAGAGCTATTGCTGTTGTTTTGAGGGTTTTTGATAAGTATCCTGATGCGGTTAGGGTTTGTTTCAAACGGTTGGTTGAGAATTTAGAGAGTTCTGATCCTCAGGTTGTTACTGCTGTTGTTGGGGTTTTTTGTGAACTTAGTTGTAAGGATCCGAGGTCGTATCTTCCGTTGGCGCCGGAGTTTTATAGGATTTTGGTTGATTCGAAGAATAATTGGGTTCTTATTAAGGTTTTGAAGATTTTTGCTAGGTTGGCTCCTTTGGAACCTAGATTAGGAAAGAGGATTGTTGAACCGATTTGTGAGCATATTAGGAGATCTGGAGCGAAATCGCTTGTTTTTGAATGTGTGAGGACTGTGATTACTAGTTTGAGTGATCATGAGTCTGCTGTTAAGTTGGCAGTTTCGAAAGTTAGGGAGTTGTTGGTTGATCAGGATCCTAATCTTAGGTATCTTGGTCTGCACGCGTTGTCAGTTGCTGCGCCGAAGCATCTGTGGGCTGTTTTGGAGAATAAGGATGCTGTGGTTAAGTCTTTGGATGATGAAGATTCAAATATTAAAATTGAGTCGTTGAAGTTGTTGATGGTGATGGTCTCTGAGAGCAATGTGGTGGAGATATCTAGGGTGTTGCTTAATTATGCATTGAAATCTGATCCGGAGTTTTGCAATGAGATCTTGGGTTCCATTTTAACCACCTGTGGGAGGAATGTTTATGAGATCGTTGTTGATTTTGATTGGTATGTATCTCTTTTGGGGGAAATGGCGACGATTCCTCATTGCCAAAAGGGTGAAGAAATTGAGCATCAGCTTACTGATATTGGCATGAGAGTTAAGGATGCTAGGTTGCAGCTTGTTCGGGTTGCTCGCGATCTGTTGATTGATCCTGCACTCTTGGGTAATGTGTACTTGCATAGGATATTGTGTGCTTCTGCTTGGGTTGTTGGAGAGTATATACAGCTTGCGAGCGATCCACTTGAACTCATTGATGCTCTTGTACAGCCTCGGGCCAATCTTTTGCCACCGTCAATAAGAGCAGTTTATATCAATTCGGTTCTTAAAGTATTGAGTTTTTGTCTGGACTGTTACATTAATCAAGATGAAGATACTGCAGCCTCATATGGAAATTCGGAAATGTTTGTTGTAAAAAAAGACTCTGAAGCTCCTGAACTAGTGGCAACATGTGAAGGTTCAACTTATGAACAGGATGAGGGCTTTAACCCAAGGCATTCGACTGCCGAATCATCTGATGATCTGTCTGTTGAAAACGACACAGATAGAGTTACTCATTTTTCAAAGAGAAAGTTCACACATGAAACAGTTGTAAGCCTATTAAATCGAATTGAATCAATTTTTGGTTCGCTAACAGCAAATCAGGATGTTGAAGTACTAGAGAGAGCACGAAACATACTTGCCTTTGTACAGTTGATTAAAGCAGAAATAATTGACAACTCTGGTCAGAATTTGGGTGAGAAATATACTCAGGTTTCAACTGTTATCAAATCGATCCGCCATGCCTTTTCCATGGAACTTGGTCCAGTCTCAATAAGTGCACAGGGAAGAGTTGCTGTACCAGATGGATTAGTTCTTAAGGAGAATCTTGATGACTTAAAAGCAATATGTGGTGGTGATATTGAGCCACCTTCGTCTAGTACATTTTACACAGGAGGTCCTCAATTTGGCACTACTTTGGATGGGTCTTCGTCTAATCTGCTGAAAAATGCCGAGTCAGGGCCATCAAATGAATCTACATCCTTGCTTGAACACCGTAAACGGCATGGATTGTATTACCTTGCTTCAGATAAAAGCGAGACTTTTACAGATGATTATCCTCCAGCAAATGACCCCAAGTCAAACAGTAATGAAGCTGACGAGCTAGCCAAGTTGACAGAGCAATCACTTCTTTTGAAGAAAAGGACAAATCAAATGAAGTCAAGGCCTGTAGTTGTGAAATTGGATGATGGGGATGTAGCACCAATTCCATACAAAAGGCCAGAGCCAAGGGACAATTCCCTTTCTGGTGCCATAAAAGATGTTCTTCTAGGAAGTGAAACCCACCCGAGTTTGTCTCTTGATAAGTCATCAACTAAGCGGAAAGGGAAAAAGAAACAAGGCACAGATATTCCATCTGAAATGAAAGAAAATCTAGGTGATGCAGAAAAGCTTGATCCTGAAAATCCCAATTCGAGTAGCAAAAATAAAGAGAGAAGACGGAGAGGTAAAGAGAAGATTGTTGAAGGGGGGGAATCTGATCAGAGGGGAAAGAAAAAAAGTAGCCACCGCCATGGCAGACATAAAACACATCAAAGAGCCAATTCACCCTTAAATGTGGTTTCCCAAACACCAGTAATTCCAGATTTTCTTTTGTAGCATTAAAAGGATTTTGTTTTGATATATACCATCACCTGTTGTTATTGATTGAGGCTGCTTACCTGTATTTTTATAGCCGAGTCCTTGAGTTTTGTAGATTCTTTGTTCATATATATTGTTGTCATTGGTTTTCATATCTTTACAATGTTTTCTTTCCTTGTTGTCTGTCTTCTGTACATGTCATAGAATGAGCATATTCAAAAAGTGAGTTATCAAGTTGGATGTTGTAGCTGCCACTTGTTTTTCTAGATATAAGAAAATCTTACTATTGTAACATTTCCCATTACATTTTAGCCATGCTTCTTGAAATTCTCATGGTCTCAGTATATGTTTTGTTTGGAGAAAACTTGTGGATAAATGCCTCTTTTTACCTGTATCTCATTAAGGTGAAAATTCAAATGCTTTTGAATTGTTGTGAGTGGGTTAATGCTCCAAGTGTTTATGTTGTAATCCTGTTAAGAGAGTCTGTTGAGAGATAGAGAAATTGATGACAGTTTCTGAGTAAAAATTTCTGAAGTGATTTTACTAGGTTTTCTTATTGGGCTCATTTTATGGGGCCAAACTGTAATATGCCTAAATCTTGTTTAAAAAATAAACATAAACCATTATGCTTACCAAAAATAAATTATTTTCTGTCATTATGGATAATCTAAGATGTGAAATGTCCACATTTAGTTCCTATTGTAGTCAACATAGTATCTGATAAGTGTTGAAAAATATTAGAAAAGTCAAGTTTCAAATAGATTAAAGATAGGATCTGATTAGAGTTGATATAAAGGGATATCTCTCACAAGTTGGTTTTATAAGTATACAAATTATGTCCAATATAAAAATTTAATGGGGGGTGTTAGAGTCTATCGATCTAGTCACTTATTATTCATAGCAACACATTAAATTCAGATATTATTCATAGCAACACATTAAATTCAGATATTATTCATAGCAACGTATATAGTCTCAAAAAATCTGTTGTAATATAGTCTCAAAATTATTACTTGAGTCCGATTTTAGACGGGATTTGGATTACTCGGTCTGAAATGGATTTTTTAATAAAAAATAAAAATAAAAATCTATAATATTTATTATAAATAAAATAAAAAATTATATTATTTTAAACATAATATATTTTTAAGTACTATGTTATCTTTTATAAACATTATAATGTGTTTTTAAATATAATATATGTTTAAATTGTAAAAAAATAATACTCGAATATTTAACATAAGAGAAACTAATAGAATACGAAGAAAGAGGGTAGGTTAATGTAATATTTAAAAGAGAAAAATTAAATAGAATAGACAAAATTTAGTGAAGTGAGAAAAAATCAATGTGTTATTTTAGAGCAACATAATATAAAAATTAATATAATTTAAAAAAAAAATTATATCTATACGTGCATAATGGACTACCTGTGAGAACAAGATTGGTTCTACATCTAACCTTATGTTTTGATGATAACTTTACATGTTATCGTAGAGAACAATTATGTACTCCAATGGTTTCTGTCTAGTGTGTAACTTTTGCTAAACAGGTTCTGACTCTAGTAAAAAGGCGTGTGACATCATCAGGTTCTAAACTCAACACTCTGGAAGAATATCTTTGGTGTGTTACAAGTTAAGTTAAGGTTCTATAATGCGTCTTATGCAACGGTTCTAAGGAACGTTAGTAAAAGAGTTTCTGATCGTGACTTATGCAAAAAAGGTTTGGAGGTCTTCTAAAACTTTACTTCTGATGTTTTATGTTCTGAAGATGCTGAAGACAAGGTTCTATTGAACGAGTTCTAAAGATCTGAAGACATTCTGAAGATCAAGTGCTGAAGACTCTGAAGGCAAGGGTTCTTTGAACAAGCCCTAAAAGGCTCTAAAGACTTAAGTTCTAAAGATATATAGTTCTGATCCTTCTACAACATGCTTCATCAACGAAACAAATTAGAAGCCTCTGAAGACATAGAAGACGAAGATCAAGACTAAGAAATTGCGTGTGATTGTAGTATAAAAGTATAAAAGTACATTGTGGCCTCTACTCTCTAGAGTGGCGCAAGAACAAACCTTTTTGTAATATTTCCTACAGCCTCACCATGACTGTTGGGAACAAAATAACTGTATTTGTGTTTCCTATTCTATCCTCCAGCGGATCTCTTCTTTCAGCTATAAAATAAGTACTTGAAAGAATTTGAAATTAACTAATCAGTTCTACAAAACTACACCAAACCGCTGCACAAACTCTGTAGAGTAATTCTTTGTATAGATTTGTAAATAAGCAAGGAGCTTTTGTTCGTATCTTACTATCTTTTGTGTTATTGTACTTAAACATTGTGTAATCTTCTTATGTAGAAGCATCTTTGTATACACATCTTTGTAATCAACTGTTGTTGATAGTTTCCTTAAGAGACTTTGTGTAGTCTGAATTCTCAATAAGACTTTGGTTGCGGTTATAGCGAGTTTACAATAAGAATCAACAGACTTATTGTGGTTGTATGTAATATGGTTGATTATAGTGGATTAAGTCCTTGTGTATAAGGTGAAATTCTGGTATTAGATAGGTGATGTCAAAGGAGATGTCATGACACAAACATCTGAGGACAATATAAAAAGCAATAATATTAAAAGCAGTAAAAACACAAGGAATTGTTAACCCAGTTCGGTGTACAACAACACCTACTCTGAGGGCTACCAAGCCAGGGATAAGTCCATTAAATAGTATCAATTCATAGACCCTCAGTAAATAATCAGTTTACGATCTAATCACTTAATCACTACCCGTGCCATACTTCTACCTAAGACACACCTAGGTATGAGGCCCTCCTCAAATCCCTTCAATCACTAACAGTGAAAAACAACAAAACTATTAAGTTTGAAAAACCTCAATCATTCAATACTTAAAAGCTTATGAATGATCCATAATTCACAACTCAAATTACAACTCAAGTATTGAAACAATACTATAGTGTATTACAAATAAAAGACATAGACTTCTAAAATGCACAAAGTATGTTTTTGTTCAAAAGTTGCAGTTGTACGAATAAGGATGCAAGTCCTTATAAAGGCGCAACAACTTCTTTATGGGCTTGAGCTAAAAAACAAATATTGAAAAATTGAATCCCTTGAACATCTCCATGAAAGTAGGCCAAGATATAATCCAAAAAGATAAGACAGATAGAAAAACATTTCTCCATATTTTCCGCAAGCTATAGACCATAAAACCTGAATAAGCCACACTTAAAAACAGGAAACACAAAACCTGAAAACACGTTCAAATTAGTAGGCAGATGTCAAGACATCTACTTTGACATCATTCAAAAACAATTTAGATGTTTTACTTCAAAGTCAAGACATTAAGCAAAACATTACCAAAGCAGTGTTTTACCAAATGCTTCCAACAAACACTAACAAACTTCCCCTTTGGCAAATTTTGACTAAAACATTATTTGATCATATTATCAGAGCAACAGCAAAAAAAGAACTCAATTAGTAGTTAGCAGTTAGCAGAGGAAGATGTCAGGACATCTTCTGAGACATGAGGCTCTCCCTCAACCAATGAAGCTCCCCCTCAAACTTAGCAGTTAGTCAGCCAGCAGTCAGTTTCTCTCCCCTTTTTTAAACATAATATGCCAAATAAACATGCATTCAAGAGAGTAGTAGTAAAAGAGATACAAACCAGAATATCCAAATGTCAAGCACATACAAGTGCCAAGATGGACATAGGTATCAAAATATAAAAGAAAAACAAAAAGAAGGCACCAGCGCAGAGTCTAACTGTCTTCAGGACCAGTAGACTTGGCAGCTTCAGAGCTTCCTTCACTATCTGAATCTCCTTCTTCAGTACCCACACTATCATCAAGGTTGTTATCCTTCTGTAACTTTTTGATCAGTTTTCCAAATTTTAGCTTTCTTGCTGAGCTAACTCTGATTACCTCATCAAGTTCTTTATAGGCTTCCATTAACTCAGTAATTATATCATCCTTTCTTGAGGTCTTGTTTTCAGAGGATGCAGATGTCAAAACAATATCTGGGACATGTTTATCTGAAAACATCTTGAAGTGAAGGGAGAAGGCAGACTCCCTTTTGCATACTACATCAGTGCCAGACAGAATTCCAGGATGTTGATTTATAATAATTCCACAAATAAGAGATGGAAAGGCAATAGGCATCTTGATAGAACAGGTTCCTGTAAGCTTTACAGTCTATTAAAAATGTGAGCACCATAATCAAACAATTTCTTATTTGCAACAACATTTCCTAAACCAACTGTAATGGTTGAGGTGTGATTGGTAGGGACCCAGTTAGCAGCTCCAATTCTATGCAGGATAGCATATTTCACACTTAATTTACTAACAGGGAACTTATTCTTCAAGGTCCAATCACTCACTTGGTTTGAAGTGATGGCTTTATACATCTGATTATCAGTCACTTCCAATTCATAGTAATCATCTTCAGACCTGTTCAAATATCTATTGATGACAGCAGGGGAAAATTCAACACATCTACCTCTAACAAACACCTTCCTATATTCCTTACTTTTGTGATCAACATAATCTATAGGAATATTAACAATAAATTCCTTAACAAGAGTATCATAACATTTTGCAAACCTGGTGACAGTCTTCATCAAGCCAACAAAAGAAATCATCTCCATAATCTCTTTGCATTCCAGTGCATCTACTCCCAACTCTCTTTCAAGAGCAATCCTTCTTTGGAAAATATATTTCCATTTTTCAGCATTGCCAACATAATGGAAGGAAATGTTGTCAAGAGGAGCATCAGGCACCCTTACAGAAAGCTTCTTACTTGCAAACTTATTCACATGAGAGATGTGCCGGACATCATCCTCCTCATCATCATCTGAGGAGCTATCGGATCTAACTTTTCTTTTGTTGTAGGGAGGAACCACTTTACTCCAGGGCTTTGGGGGACCATACATAGTCTTCTTCTTGATACTCTTGTTAGGGGGTGTGACATCCACAACCTTCACTTTTCTAGATTCGAGCCTTTTAGAAATTC